GAATTTCCCTCTGATAATTCGGTCATTATGCTCTGCAGATAATTCACTCTAGAATCACTTGTGGCATTAACCACTCTAGCGCAATGTGTTATTTTTAACCATCTTGCCTGATTAAACATTTGAAACCCCCATAAAAACTCACTAATCATTCTTGGTTTTCAGACAACCACAAGGGTCTGACCTAGGGTGGCATGCGAGATTTATACTCCTGAAATCGCTTCATGCTAAAAGATTGTTTGTCTGTGGAGGTGTGACAGATTTTCGCATCTAAACTTGCGTCAATTTTCAGTATATGGTCTGCAGTATACCGGCCTACCTCTAAGTCAGTTGACACAGCAACTATTAAAAGCCTTTTATCTTTGTTCACTGACTGCGCAGATGCCAGCGTTCCACAGAGTCACATCAGATCTAATAAATCTACCATTATTTGCGTCCACTAGCATATTTCATTGAAAAGTTTGTGGTTATTGCTGGACACACGCAGCTCTGAAAGGGCTTTGCCAAGATGCATTATTTTTATGGGTACATTAACCTATGGGCACGTCCAAAAATCGCGTATCCTTTGAACATTGTCAGCTGGTTTCGTGGGACGCTTGATGATCTTAAATGGGTCCGTTTGCAGTCTAAACAAATTTTATCAAAATTAAAACCAATCCTAAAGGTGTAGAAATAGTTTTAAGCGTAGTACACATTTGGGCAAACAAATCCAATTGGTTGTCACATCAACTTGGTCAAAACGTCCCTTCTTCCTACATTTAAGTTTTTAACTTGCGATTGGACTTCAGTGATTCCATTTATATCAATCCAGAAAATTTCAATGCACGAAATACTTCAATTACAACTAAGTTAATCGATAGCCTTCCAATCTGGCATAGTCATCGTTTACATTCCTTAATTTTTGATTAGCGCGTCATGCTATTTTTGGTATTTTGCTTACAGGCTCGCCATAGACATAAATAAAACAGCCCAATATTGGATTCTTATTTTGAAGATATTTCCTCTAAAACGTTAAGATAAAGTCCTAATCGATAGCTGGCAAAGTTCAAAATTATTGGGCCTGTTGTACTGCGGTCCTTTATGTAGGTAGACGGTTTGCTTGCCCTTGAACGGCTTTGGATTCGTCAATAAAAATGAACAGCATTCATATCGTGTGGTGTTTTTTAAGGTAAAATAGCTTAATAGATGCTTGCTTTTCTTACAAGTATGCATTATCATCTCTTAATTGCAAATATGCTGTTCGGTATCATGAAAATATCTGCTAAAACGTATTTTGGGTTTACTATATATTTGGATTTGATGCATTATTAAGCTGATTGTTGAAGTTACACGGCGTTTCCGATTCAGCTGTTGCTGGCTGCAGACATATAGTCACTACGAGGTTTTTACTATGACTGACTTACGAGTAACAGTAGCCAGACTTTTTACTAAACGGACAAAGTTTGTTTGTAGGCAACAAAACAAGTATGATTTCGTCATTCTGCTACGTTGCTTTGCAACAACGAAACAGAGGCGAGCAACTAAAGGCTTACACAGAAAAAGGCGAACTACTGGGAAAACGTTCAACTAAATTTAAAACTCGTTTTACAACAGTATGGGCCACTGTAAAACACGAACTCTTGGCAATTGCAAGTTATGTAGACAGTTAATCAACCTCAACCGTCGCTGTTGCAGGGCGGACAAACCTTCACTGCGAGTCCCATCTCTAATGTCAACACTGTGCTTATAAAAATCATATACTAGCTTGATAACAGTAATAAAAATTCCCCGTCAGTTAGAAATTCTCCTTTTTCTGCGGCCTAGCATTCTAACTTGTGTTTCTTACGGCAGGTTATGGGTGGCGCGTTAGTAGTTTGCGCTGTTTGGTTCTGTTGCGACTTTTCACTACTTTATTTTTTGGTTAGCATTTGTATCTTTATATTCGATTTGTATAAAAAACAGTAATAAAGTGCTGTTTCTGTAAATGGGATAGAATAAGCACTTGGGGCACATTTTACCCTTGAAAATTAGCCACGAATTAACAATCAAATATTTTCGCAAAATATATTCTCTGTAAGTTCAACTGTACTTTACGACTTCACTGCTTTAAATAAATGGTTAAAATTTGGGGGATGTTCAAGGTCATTGACTCACTTAAAGCAACTGTAGGGATGAATAATCCATGAGTGCATTTCCACAAGGCGTTTCTTCTCCATACGCACAGCCTGTTTAGTCCCAAAGAACTTTAAGCAGGCCTTGCTGTTATCGGGTGCGATGAAAGTGAGAAAATGCTCCTTTATGCTGTTCCTGCTTTCCAGCCGTTGCCCACAGGTCGCTGCCTCGGATTTGGGTATCTCCACATTGTCCTGTGAATTGCAACTTCGGGCAGGCATTCGGTAGAGATTAGCAGCGCCACCAAAGCTGTGACGCTTGTCAAGTGGACCCCGGGGACGAAGAAGACGACCCAGTCTTTGCCGGTTGCCCATTATGCGTTCCTCCCAAATATGCGAGGCACGCTGTAGGCCTCGGCGGGGCTGCCCGAGCCCTTTTTCTGGAGTCGCGCTAAGAGGCGTAAGGACGTCAGCATTAATGTCCTCCATCGCTAATTTTTGAATTTGATCCACGATTCACTAACGTGCGTCTCACCATGAACATGAGGAAGCCAGACTTAATTTCTGTGATCTACTCGATGGAAAATGTGGTGACTAAACCTCATATACGTGCAGCATTATACTGAGCCATCTGGTAACTACTTTGCAAACTTTATAATTTTGGTGGACACTTAAATTACTGCTAAAATTCCCATTGGTTGACGATTTGAACAACTGGATTGGTCTATTAGGCGACCGGCGTTCGGCGGACTATTGAATATGAACTGAAATTGCGTGCACAATTTTGTTATTTACATGGTTGTGATGTGATACGCAATTTGAAAGATAAAAATATTTGAAACAGGCGTAACAGATCTACGATATCATGCAATATCTCAAAAGAAGAAAATGAGGTCGCCAGAACATTAGGTTTTCTCGGCCTGCTGGTTCTGACTTACATCCAAACACGTCACCAGAGACAGTCGCAGGCAAAATTAACGGAAGCAAAGGAGGCACTACATTTATAGAAAGTCCTTGTATCAAATACGACCCCCAGCTGCTACTTATCATCATTGGTCGTGGAGCCTAGTTTGTTTAATTTAGTTCAATATTTGCTATCTTCCTTATTCTTAAAAAAACCCGTATTTCAAAGGAGGAGCGGAATTCGAGAATATTTGCCTTGTCATCTCTGAAAGTTGTCAAATTTCCGGAGTACTTCAATCCTGTCGTTTCCTAGGAACCATATGGCATTCTGTCATCTGCCTCACGAAGCCTGAATTTACTAGTTTTCAAATGTCAATAAGGTCTGACGAAGTAGGGTAGATAAGAATGCGACCGATACTTCGGCCTTCGAGTTCGACGACGTCCACCACTTGCTCGACTGCAGGGTGGAAACAGGGACGGTGACTTGCGCGTGAATCAGTTTAAAGTGGCAGTAGACCTGCGCAGCATCCACAACACTCTGTCTTTCATTGCAAATATGCGACCTAATCCTCTGATGGCGAAATTTACAAAAAAGGAACTCAAGGGAGACAGTACACGAGTGACATACAACAGAAGTTTAAGTGAACTACAAATAAAAAATTACTAAGTATACTACATGGATGCGGTGGACGTAGTTGCGATTCGTCAATAGATTAAAATCTTTGTTCTTTGGAGAGGCCAAATTGGCTGATTTCGATCGCGAAAAGATTGTCCACTTTCGACCTACTTCTGTTTAACCATTTCTCACAATGGAATCTTAATAAAATACATTTAGAATTCACGTTTTTCTGAATGGCGGGGAATAAGTGACTGATGTTCCAGTCTCCAAAGTGTAGCGGTTGGCTGGACAAACTGCTTAAAAGAAATGAGTCATGGGAAAATGAATTCGTTATGTGAACTTTGCTGCACAGTATTTACCGGCCCGATGTTCACGCACAATCACTTGCTATTCTACTACGCAGTGTTAAATAAAGTCCGTCTTTATTGAGGATCCGAACAATGAAATTCACACAAACTACCCGAAGTTCACTCAAAACTCGATTTCAGCAAATGGATCTGCCTTCTTGGAAGTTCGCAATTCGTATGCATGCCAACCACCTTAATGCGCTCCATTTAGCTGCACTTTCATCTTTCCTCAGGAAACATTTTGTGACATGCCGATAAAGCCGGCAGAATTTTGCGTAGATTAAAAATGTGTGCCTTATTGAAGATGCTGGTCGCGAAGAAGTTAAAAAGAGTTGCCTGTGACCGCTTTAAACTTACATTATGGTGCTATCCTCCATGCGCCAGATTTTTGCGCACGGAGCTTTGATGTATTTTTGGTAGTAATTACACCAGGGTAGAGTGAGAAGGAGTACTCACAAAATTCGTTTGACATTCACATTGGGGAGACAAGTTGGCAGCTACAGCCTACCAGAAAGATACCGAGACAAGGAATGCTGTAAGCCACCATGGAAATTCATCAGTGACACACAAGCTGTGCTCCAGCATAAAGCCGATTGTTTGTAATGGCAAAGGTACATGATGATGAAGAGTCGGAACCGCCGCAGTCGCTCAGTTGAACGGACGATTAATTCCTCGGACGTGCGAAAATTAACTCCACGGCGTCCAAAGTCCGTTGGCTGACCGGAAACGCTCCATCGCAAAGGTAACTCTGTGGCAATTAATCGCGCCCAGGTCGCATTACACAAATCAATGTCCATTTTCGGTGTTGCTGTGTTCTTAGGTGGTTTGGAGTAATTTTGACCGATGCTCGCATTCATCACTAGTGGAAGCTTACTAAAAAGGTATGAGTTCCATCAGTGGAACTGAGAATGCACGTATCTAAAGTTATGTCGGCTGTGACACAAACTACTGACGAATGAGTGACCACAGCGTATCGGATTCATACTTAAAATTACATTAAACCCGATAGAAAGGAGTACAAAACTGGACGGAATTTGGTTTTTTTACATGTAAGTTGGCGACTAGTCTGCTGTTGGGCATTTGAAACATTTGGTTTTGTTACTGTGAGCTTTGTCCCATTGCAACAATGGGCCGGACATGGGCGTAAACAACCCCTGGCATTACTTGTGACCTTCCGCTAAATTCTATGGGAATGCGCCCATTCCCATGACCCAGTTTCAACTCCGACGCCAATCCCAACCCTCATACAAAATGCACAACTAAGCCCAACCCTAAACCCCCTAGAATTTATTACAAGTCACTTTTTGCGGGCGTACATATTCCCGCATTTTATGCAGGATTTTTGCAGCGGTGCATGCTGAAAAGACCATTCTCTATAAGCCAATGCTTCTTCAAGTAGTATGCTAGGCTTTACAATGGCTCATCAAGTAACGTAATGTGGAAATAAACTGTTATTTCCCCGGCTAATAGAGCCTCATATCGGCACAAATCTAAACACCCAAGCACATAGTGAATTATCAAGTACTTTGCAGCAGCACTTTACTCAGAATATTAAGCAGACCACTTACCGTTGCCGGCGATCCGTAGCACATGCAAACTCATGTAACAGCTAAGCGCTAAATTATAAACTAACTAATGTGCATGCTTAACATAGACTCAGCACTGTTTCTTGGCAGTCGTATGTGCTGTATAGGGTACGTGCTGTTTGAAACCGTCGGTGGGGCATTAAAAAGACCTCTGATCTCAAAACTACGACAAACATAAAGCCGGTTTCACGGTCGCATGTTTTTGTGCTATTCGATTTTCGTGCTGAAATGAAGGGAGTGAGAGGGGGATTTGCTGCTGCAAAAAAGTATGTGCCAGTCAACTGACGACTATTTAACCTTTCGGAAGAGACATCGCCCCCCATCCCAGCACCAGCATCTGCACGCCATTTCAGCCACTGCGTGGGTGCGCAGTCCTGCCGAGGAGCTCCAAACCTTAAATAATCAAGATTCAAGATCCCACAGTGGTCTGCGTGCAGGTGTCGAAAGAAAAAATTCTGTGTCCTCAAAGACAGCTGATAGTATCGGCTCACAGCCAACCCAACCAATCAAACGCTAGATTCCAAGCGAAAAATCCTCGATGGTAGAATAAGACAGAAGCAAGTGAAAGGGATATAAAAATCGATAACGGCGATGCCTACAGTGGCCAAACGGCCTCACTCCTAAAGGGTGTTATTTTCTCAACAGTAGTTAGACTTCCGCTGAGGTATATACATTTCAGTTTCGGCACGTGTTTGTTCTGTACAAAAACGCAATTAAATTAGCCGAGACAATGAGGATTGTCATTTGAACCTATGTTTTGGCCTACTCATAAATAGTTCTTAACTAAGGGCCAACAAAACCATAAGTTACAGCTGATGCTCTATCTCATGACATGTTAGCCGAATTTCCAGAATACGTTCTCGATGCAGAAATATTACCTAAGCAGTGCCGTACAGTCTGGCCCACATCCACTGCACTAATTTATGTAGACTATAGAACTCCTTCTTAACAGCGTAGAAAGATGTGTGATACCCCTTTAACGGAATGAATACAGCACGTAGTTTTAAAACCGCGAACACAAGTTTAACGGCAGGTTGGGTTCGAATTTTCT